TCATCATAAACATCTTCCCTACACTTCATCATAAACATCTTCACTACACTTCATCATAAACATCTTCACTACACTTCATCATAAACATCTTCTCTACACTTCATCATAAACATCTTCACTACACTTCATCATAAACATCTTCACTACACTTCATCATAAACATCTTCACTACACTTCATCATAAACATCTTCCCTACACTTCATCATAAACGAAAGTTTCTCATTTTAACTTCAGTAATGTATACAGGATATGGGGTTACTAGCACCTTGCTCCCGGCATTTTAGTCGCCTCTTACAACACGCATGGCTTATGGAGGAAGGATTCTGTTCCACTTCCCCATGAAGACAAGAGGAAATAAACAAGAACAAGGACTAGTAAGAAAATAGAAGAAAACGCAGAGGGGTGTATATATATACTTGTACATGTATGTGTAGTGTGACCTAAGTGTAAGTAGAAGTAGCAAGACATACCTGAAATCTTGCATGTTTATGAGACAGAAAAAAGACACCAGCAATCCTACCATCATGTAAAACAATTACAGGCTTCCGTTTTACACTCACTTGGCAGGACGGAAGTACCTCCCTGGGTAGTTCCTGTCTACCAACCTACTACCACAAGATGATAGCAACTGCCTGGATGGTTGCTGTCTACCAGCCTACTACCACAGGATTGTAGTAACTCCCTGGATGGTTGCTGTCTATCAACCTACTAGCACAGCCACCAACATCACCACGACCATCACCACCAACCACCACCATCACCACTAACCACCATCACCACCAACCGCCACCACCAACCGCCACCACCAACCGCCACCACCAACCCCCACCACAACCGCCACCATCAACCGCCACCACCAACCACCACCACCAACCACCACCACCAACCGCCACCACCACCAACCACCACCATCAACCACCACCACCAACCGCCACCACCAACCACCACCACCAACCACAACCATCAACCACCACCAACTACCATCATCTATCCTGCCTCGCTAATAATACTTGTCTCTGTGAGGGGAAGAAATTGAACTCAGTTGTCTAACTGGTGGTTCACAGCTTCAACAGCCTTCTATAAGTTAGTGTTATTAGTGACTCTACAACACACGGTACAGGTGGAGCCAGTTGATTCACTGGCTTACGCACTGGCCTGAAGTTTTACGACTCACCTGCCGTGAATTCGAGTCCCACCCGTACCGTGGTTTGAAATTGTGTTATTACGATTTCGTGAATCATGAATATACCAGATAACTCATAATAACCAGTACTCTCAGATAATGAAGATCGAAGCTTTGCTGAATGTTATTGATGACAGTGTTCATCACCACTGCACATGACAATGGTGCCGTCTATGCTCTGGCTACGAATTCTCTTGAGTTTAACTTGCATGTTTTTGCATCAATATATGCTCAGAAGTATCCCCGGGGGGGAAACCAAAAAAGTTTCCCGGGGCAGGAACATCCCCCAAAACTCTCTTGGTTGCTGGAGTATCAAGTACCAAGTTATTAAGGAAGTAAACAAAAGCCTGATCTCATATTTTGCATTTAGTTTAACAATCATGTATTTGTAAGTAAAGGTGGGCCCCACTTATACAGCAGGTTAGGCTCCACGCTACTGTTGTCAAGGGAAAATCGCCGTAAAGTGAAACATTACCCATTTTTTTTCAAATGTACATAAAAGCCTGAGCAATAGAGCTAGGCCTAAAAAAATGCTGATACAGTACACACATTGCTTATCTTAAAACATTTTGGTCCTTACTTTATAGTGAATGGTAAATATATTGTAGGAAGTCTGAATAAATGAAGAATAATGATAATTGAAAACCGCCGTATTAGCGAAACGTTGGAAAACAAAGCGCTGTAAAGCGTGGATTGACTCTAATTTTAAGCAAGTCTAAGTCTAGTTACTATACACCAGAAAGTTGCTCCATAAAGCTGCTTATGTACGTTCATGTTAATATAGTCAGTTTTAAATCTACTCGGTCTTCTGCATTTCTATACCATAAACAAATTATTTTACTTGTTAATATACTAACAAAATTACTGTACTTTATTACGACAGCATAATAGTGCAACTAGAGATTATGTATTCCAAAGTAACTATATATAAACAATGTTATATATAAGTTAATGTCAAAGATGACCACCAATGTTATCATTGTAAACTGTGAAACATAATGGAGAAAGTTAACTCTAGTGTTGATCCCAAACAATCATAAATAATACAAGATGAAGTAGAAAATAAAACATCATTGAACCAGAAATGTGAGGATCTTCCCACGAAAATCACTAAAAGAAAAAGAGAAGAAGAAGAGGAGGAGACTGAGGCCAGCACTAGTACAAAAGTGAGTAAAAGGCGAAGAGAAGATGATGAAGAGAATAATTATCACCTGAAAATAATGAATAAAAGAAAAAGAGAAGAAGAGGAGGGTGAAGGTTCCAGTAAGTAACTGAGTAAGAGGCGAAGAGAGGACGAAGGAAAATGTAATGATCACCTGAGTAAGAGGCGAAGTGAAGACGAAGAAAAATGTAATGATCACCTGAGTAAGAGGCGAAGAGAGGACGAAGGGAAATGTAATGATCACCTGAGTAAGAGACGAAGTGAAGACGAAGAAAAATGTAATGATCACTGAGTAAGAGCGAGAGAGGACGAAGGGAAGTGTAATGATCACCTGAGTAAGAGGCGAAGTGAAGACGAAGAAAAATGTAATGATCACCTGAGAAGAGAGAATGAAAGAAAAAGTAGTGATGATAACAGAGATGAAAGGAACAAAAGATAAACAGATAATATCAGAGAAAATTACGATAATATCAGCGAGAACCCTCAGATACGGTTAAAATAATTGAGGGAATTTTGTTAGCTATCTAACATAAAGATATTTCCTCGTGAAATAATTAGCAAGTGGTTGAGAAGCGATCACAGTTATTTACTAGGAAGTGGAGTATAAGGAACATGTTGGCTAGTTGATGAGAAATAGTAATGTTTAGTAGTGAAGGAGGTATACTGCCGCGACGGGTACAAACAGTTTTATGAAGAAGTATTCTTCCTCTAAAAAGTTCAAGGCATCCCTGGTGTTCAAGAATTAGTGGGTGTTAACTTGGGCTCTAAGATGAGTTTCATAGTTAGTGTGTTTGCAGGTATGACACTACACAAATACTCACTGATAAAAGCACTGACTACCTCATCAATTATTAAAATTATAGCCAGCCTAGCCACAACTCTCCAAGGTATACATTCAAGAGATGTGGTTCATAATGACATTCATTATTTTAATATATGTATTCGAGAATCACCTGAAGGTTTACAGACCACGCTCATAGATTTTGGTTATGCCTCCAAAATCAAGCAAAATGAAATGTTCGTTTCTTTTCCGAACACCGTAACGTATGGACCCAGCAACATCGTGGATGTCAAAGACTTAGCTACCATGTGTCAAATTCTCTTTGAAGTAAACAGTTTGACGCTCCCAATGGAAATTAAACTATGTCTTCAAAATTTAAGGTCGGTAAACCTTGCAGAAATAATGGACCTTGGAGAGCTTGTAAAGATTTTGGAAGAATTACAAGGGAAGGAGCCCTCCCCATCACCACCAGTCCTTGACAGTGGATTGGACCTGACTCGACAGCCTGACATCAAGAACTCTCAACACCTAAAAGAAGCGGTATGTCAGGACTCCCCAGAGAAAGACTGTAAAAGAAAGAGAGAAGAGAGTGAGGAGGATACTAGGGAGGAAAATAGCAAAAGACGAAGAGAAGATGAAGTGGATTAGAAAAAAAATGAAACTTAAACAGCAGATGAGAATAGGTGATCCTTGTGTAAAAACTTAAGTGCTTCTGTTTAAGTTAAAATATAAAAATATTTAGTAGACAAATAATCGAGGAATGGCTGCGAAGTGACTAGACACGAGAGTTGGGTAGTGGAACGTAAGGAAAGTGCTGGTACGTGGTCCACGACCAATAATAATTAGTAGTGAAGGCAAATTATAAATCCTTGGTTGAAGAATTTTACAATGAAGTAATTTTGCTTCAAAAGTTACAAGGTATTCCCGGTGTGCAGTAGTTAGTTGGTATAAATTTGGATCTAGGTGGTGGTTACCTGATAAGTACATATGCAGGTGTAACTCTCTCGTAATATGCAGAGAACCACTAGCTTAAGACTTTATCATTGATCTAGATCATTGCCAGCCTGGCCACAACTCTTCAGGGTATCCACTCAAGAAACGTTGCCCACTGTGATATCCAGAGTGATAATATCTGCATTCTGCAAACACCTGAAGGCTTGAAGGCCACCCTTATAGATTTCGGTCTTTCATCACCCATTAAAAAGTCAACATTTAGCAATCCACTGGCGGATGCAGAGAATCATCCACATGAAAAAATGGTGGATGCCTAAAAGTTAGCCAATATGATATTTGACATCCAGGTATGTCACGGTTTCCACCTTCCCAGGTATATAAATGAATGGTAGTGTAGTGTACTGGGAATGTTCATTGAGACAGAGGCCATTAACGAACTTGTGAGCATTATGGAAAAAGTACAAGGTAATATGTCTCTCCCTTCACCACCATTCCACGACGGTGAGATGAACGTGACTCGCACATCCAGCAGAACGAGTGCTGACAGTTAGACAGAAAGAGAAAGTAAAGGTGAACAGAATGACGATGTCGACTGATGAGGGAGAACAACCTAAATCTAACATTATTATTATTATTATTATTATTATTATTATTATTATTATTATTATTATTATTATTATTATTATTATTTCTACTTGTGGGAGTTACTTTTCTTATTTTTCCTTCTTTTTGATAATGTGCAGAGCAATATATATATATTCACTATTAACCAAGGATTCGGTATCACGACAGGTATTGTGTGTGTGTGTGTGTGTGTGTGTGTGTATGGGTGTGTGTGGTTGTGAAGTTGTCAACCGTGTGTTTTTTTTTGCTGATCAGTTTTTTAAAAAAAAATTTGTCTCCCTTTCCCCCGGAATTCTAAAATTTTAAAGCGTAATGATCCGAGCTTTGCCAGATCTGTCTTTGCTTTTAAATTACTTTCCCTTTGAAAAATTATTTTTTACCCTTTCCCCTCAGAATCCATGGAGTCCCATGAATAAGATGGATCGATAAATTCCCACCCTTTTTATTTTCCAGGGTTTGTTCTTATAATTCTTTATTGCATTAGTAAAAACTATTATTTAAAAACCCCATTATTTTAACACCCATTACTTTAAAAAACCCTTTTGGGAAACACCCTTTTATGATACCTTTCCAAAGTTTTCCCTTTAAAATATGTCTTTGTTTTGTATAAAATTTCAGCCCAAGAACCTGGCTGTTCACCCTTATAGATAGTATTCTATGTAAAGGGACGGCAAAATTTAACATCCCAAGTGCAGTTTAGCTACTAAAACCCCTTTATATGTATACTTGTGTAGTTTTATTGTAGATCGTATCATCCAGGGATATATTTTAGGCTCCCGGTTCAGTAGGTCTTTTGACAAAAGCATGTATGATTTTCCCCTTTTGGTGCTGTGGTGAGCCTTTCACACTGGGATCCTTCTCATTTTCCCGCATAGGTCTCCCTCAGGAAGACACAGCGGGTTTGGGGCTCTCCCCTTCATACTCTCCCTAATAAAAGTTTTTCCACCCAACAAGTGTTTTTTTACTCCAACCTTCATATTTAGAACCCCCCACTAGATGTATTTCCATCTGCGGTCTTTTTTCCCTTTCCCCCAAATTTCTTCTTAATTTGCTTTTTGGTTTGGGTTGAACCCCAGGACCCAAATTTTGCTGGACCGGGTTTTCACCCTGCCCGGGTTCCCATTTTAGTTCTGTTTGGTCTTTTTGAATAAATTTTCCTTCTAAAACTTCACTTCCTCTAAAAACAGGGACACTTCGGAGTCAAATTCCCTTTTCCGTCTTTGTCGTTCACAAATCCCAGAAACAGCACTGGTCCTAAAAAAGGGACCCCTGGGGGGCCCACTCTTCACAATTTCCCCACTTTGACACCTCGCTCCCTCCCCGGACTCACTGCTGTTTTCCGGGACAAGTTTTTCCTGACCCATTTTAGTGCCTTCCCTGTAACCCTTCCCGGGTTTCCTCCAGTTTTTGCGCTAATCTCTTGTGTGGAACTGTAAAACCCCTTTTTTTCAGCCCAAAGGGAAAAATCCCAATTACCCACCCCTTTTTTTTTCTTACTGCTGTACCCTCTTTTAAAATTCCAGTAGTTTTGTGAGCGGGAATTCCCCGCCCCAAAAACCATGTTGGTTGCGTTGATGAGATCATTCCTTTCTAAGTGTTCCCCCACTTTTTGATAATCTTCTCCGTGTCACTTTGTCAGTGACATGGTCTGTAGTTTAGTGCTTAGTCTGTCCCCTTTTTAAAAAAAATTGGATACTTTTGCTGTTTCCCTTTCCTGGGGTTATCCCCCCCTGTTTCGATAGATGTGTTGAATATTGTTGTTAGGGGTGCAATAGCGCCTCGGGTCCCCCTCTCAGGACCCATGAAGAGATGTTATCCGGCCTCATCGGGCCCTTTTAGGTATCTAGCTCATCAGAAGCCTCTTCACTTCTTCCTCGGTTATGTGTACTGGGTCCCCGCACTTGGTGACCCCACTCTCCGGGCTTTTTTTCTCCTTGTGAACTCTTCTTTGAATCTGCACCCTTTCCCACGGAATTTCATGTGTCTTTACCCCCCAAAGCCCACAAGGGGGGACACGGTTTGTTTCCCCCTTTCCCAAAGGAAGGGGATGTGTTTGTTTCCCCCATGCCCCCATTTAGGGCTGTATTTGTTCCCCATGCCCAAAGGGGAAAGGGCAGGGGCTTTTACCCCCATGCCCAAAGGAAAGGTCCCCTAAATTTTGTGCCCCCCTGCCCACAGGGAAAAGTATTGGGTTTATAAGAAAGCTAAAAAAACTTTAAAAAAACTTTTACTTTTACAAAAGGAAAATGTAGTACCAAACTTCTTTTTAGCCAGTTTTTGAGTGCCCTTATTTGTTAAATTCCCTTTTAAATGCCCTTTTTTTTAAATTTTAAAAGCTGCAGCAATTTAAAAAAAAATTGATTTAGATGGTGAAGTAGGCCCCAAATTTTCCCCTACAGTAATCACTTGATTAGCGTTAGATTACGAGAGTAATCTTTTGACAAGTGCATAGGGGCTTGTAGACTCATAAATCGTAATAACACTCTTTAAATTTAAATTTCCCCCAAAGGTGTATAGAAATGTACTTTGTTGTATGATTGTATGGCCTTTTTAAGGCCAGTGGCTCTCGGCCGTTGGCCCTTTGGGGGAAGCCCCTTTAACCCGTGAGGGTTTTAGCGCTCATTTGCCCGGGTTCAATTAAACCCCTGTTTCTTAAATTTTCTTGGCCTTTCTAGCATAAATTGGGAAAGTAAATTGTCCTGGGGTTCTCAAGCTCCCTTTTTAAACCCCACATTTTCCTTTTTAATCACTGTTGGGTCATATTTCAAGTGTTCTTGAAGGGGAAAAAAATTTTAAAAATCACTGTCGGTTTTTTTGGGAGTTGTGGTGTTGGAGGTAGTGGTGGTGGTGGGTAGAAGTAGTAATAATATTAGTATTAGTAGTAATAATTAAATTATATTCATTTTAGGGCCAAATTTAAGGAAAAGTAATTTTCAGCTTCTCATGTCGGAAATATTAAACAACCCGTTCTTTTTGAACTTTGACTCCGTCGCACAGCAAAAAGAGGGAAACCTTTTGATACTATATACCCTACTACCTATACTACTACTACTATCTACTACTACTACACTACTTTACCACTATACTACTTACTACTAAAACTACTACATTTCTACTACTTTTAAAACCCACAAACAATACTTTTCTACTACAAACAAAATTTCTACTACTACAAACTACTACACAAATACTACTATTGTTACTTTCTACCTACTAATGCTGCAAAAACTACAAAATACAACTACCATACTACAA